TTGTTGATATGGCGATAAGTGTACCACTTGAGCAACGAAGCGTAGATCAGAAGCTTCTCACCACAGTAGTTACCAATAAGCTTTCGAGATGGCTTTGACCGGCTCTGTTTGCGCGTCTCGTTGTACTCGAACATGTGCCTACCAATAAAATTCACAATGCTGCAATCGATAGGCGTGTTCTTGAAAAAAGGGTCCATCTCACTAACGTACTCTTTAAGGTGTGATGAACTAAAACAACTTCTCATTGACAATGTCGCTGATGATACCAAGACTCGCATCAATCGTAGTCAATCTTGCATTCTTCATCGTCAAGATCGATCTCATCCTTCCAAATGAAAGTGCGAACTTGCTCTCTGTTCTTATCGTTGTACCGCTTTTGATAAAGGATCGACGAGCTTTGCGTGTGCGCTGGTAGTTTCTCTTTTGCGTTGCATTTATGGGCTCTTTGTGTGCTTGGTGTTGATTGTCATCCTAGTAAATTACTTTCTTGCTACATAATTACCATTATCAAAAAATATAATAGATGACCAAGGTTTGCTTTAATTGTATCGTATGATCTTACGGCCCATAAGTCAAACAGTGCGTCATACTTTTCAACTAGAGTGGAAATTATTGCATCATCAACCTTGTCGCTTCGCTACGAACTTTTTGAAAGGTATGGACCACAAAATTTATTTTCTCGGTCGAAAAGCATTCAGTGAGGAAAGTAAGCAATGGCGGACAGCCAAAAACCTCACGAAGACGCTCTTACGCGACTCGTTTGTGACTTGGAAACGAAGAAAAGATTGTGCTGCGTCGAGGACTATCCTGGAGTTGGGCTGGAGCAGTTGAATCATCACCTGGAGAATCTCGGTCCACTTGTGAACCCCGTTTTCGGCGAGCAGCCGGCTTTTTTTATCGACGAAGGCTACTTTATCCCATATCGAATTGTCGCGTATGGCACTGAGATGATGGCGGCCAAGATTGCACCGCTCCTTGGTCAGTGGTCAAAGTGGTCTGGAAATGGGGGTCGAGTGACAACCTCGCAAGGGACGTATATTCTAGAGCAGCAGCCTGGAGGTCCTAAAGTGAGATTGCCCGACGTGGCATACACACCACGATATGATGACAGAAATTTAACTCCTGAACAGATATGGACATATCGTAGTGAGCCTTATGTCCCTACCTTTGTTGTTGAGATTGATAAGCTATCTGGTTCAAGCTCTCAACTGCAAGCTCTCGATCAAAAGATGCGAAATGAATATTTTCAACACGGCGTGGAGTTGGGTTGGCTGATAGACCCACGCCCAGACTTTCAGCGGATGTATGAGTACTATCTCGACGAAACTGGAAATGTGCAATGCTCTGACAACTTTGAATGGAGAGATCTTGACGGTGGTAATGTTCTTCCTGGATTTAAGATACGCGAACCTGTGTTGGAAATGGTATTGAACCAGGATCCAGGATCTTCGTCAGAAGATGAAGTTGATCTGGTGTGTCCTTTTCCAGGATGCAACAAGCGATTCCGATCGCATGGTGCAATTGCTGCTCATGTTGAATGGCACCGTGAGGAAAGATCAATTTCGAAGTACTTAGCCAAGCGTGGGAACTCATAGTCATCTGTCGCTTAGCTTCATTTACAATCCGCTCGCTACTGTATCAAAAAACCAAGAGTAGGGTGGAAAATTCAAAATACAATGTCTCCACGTACAACCATTGCTTCGTAAGTATATTGACGTTTAAGGTTGTACAGGTACGAATATTACAGGCGTTCTCTTGGTAATACCTACAAGTCAAAAGATGTTGTGGTTGGTCCGATCTTTTGCCAGCTTCTTGATTTCCACAAAAGCTACGAAGAGGTCAGAAAGTGGTAAGATCATGCAGAAGCTGAATTAGGTGGGTTGTAGTCCTTGGCTTCAACTTCAAAATATCATTCTATTCAAAGCGATTTGTTCGCTTCCATTGGGACGGACAATGTACTCAACGAAGCAGAAGTACCTTTGCGGTCGTCTTTGAACACCGATTTTCGAGGAACAAGCATCAGCGGTAATGAATACGGACGAGTGAAGTATGCGCGGAGATACTGCTATATGGAATCAATCAAGGACCTACTGATTAAATTCAAGAATTTCGACATAGTCCTTTTCATCAGAGGTATCGATGTTTTGCAATATTTTTTTTCGAGCGTTTTGATCTGGATATGTTCGCGAATTGTGTTTCGCTACCGGCTCTTTCGGAGAGAGACATGTATCAGACCTGCTCTGGTATCAAATACTCTAGCATCCGAATAAGTAGCCTTCAAGCGCCTTTTCAGTTCCAGCTAAGTGAATGTAAGGATACAAGACTCAGGATGACAGGCCAATTTCAGCAAGACACTCGAACACTAAAACACATTGCTACATGGCTGTTTTGAATAGCTAAGTGAAGCGCAACCGCGCTCGTATAAACATGGCTCGGGAAATTCTGCATAAAAAAACTTGAGTTTCACTCAGACAGATTGGTCTTGTCGACCGATAGGGAAGAAAAGGATAATTGCGCTAAGATGAAGTTTAACACGCCTGGTGGTCCTTCTATAAATCTTCTCCATTTGCCATGCCGAGCGCAACAAGACACTGAAATCGGGTGCTAAAGCTGTAAGAAGATCATCGGGTACGATACCAATGCTTTATACCTGTGGGCACTCGACAATGAGATGCCTTAC